AAATATACGCGACAGGTAGCCAAGAAACTTAGTTTCTATATAGATATACGCAACAGGTACCCAGGAAACTTAGCTTATACAACTTTTAAAAAAGCTAATGTGTATCTATGTTGAAATTGTTTTTTTAAAACATGTTCTTCAATTTGGAAAAAAAATTGAAGTATCTCACTGGACAATCAAGACTACTTGTATTCAAATTCCAGTCTGGTCTCCCTTGCTTCATTATCATTGTTTATAATCTTTAAAATAAATGCTTGTGGCATCTATGTTGACTTAGAAATTACAGAAGCCCCTTCTACCAACCACAATGCTGTACTATAGTGGCCCCTGGTGCTAATGTTATACATTCAATGTTCTTGTTACAACTATACCGTGTTCAAGTATGTGAATGTTGCCATCAGTTTTGTTTTTATTGTAGTCTAAAAAAAATAAACGAAGGACGAGAACAAAAATATTACAAATGATTGTCTACTGTCTCTTTGCCAATCATTACAAACTAGGTAATATACGATTATAATAATTTAGCAATTGCACATCTATGATGCAGTGATTGTTCCCTATCAACCATATAAATGACCTCTACTAATATAATTAAATGGCATAACAGAGTGACTGCTTCAAGTGTTATGTTCCAGTAGTTAATCCACTGTTCAGTCTGTGAAATTAGTAGTATATTTTTTGAAGAGTAAACTTAAAGCAGGGGAGTCATCACCTGTGCATGCTTCAGATGGCCATAGCATGTCATTGTTTTGAAACAAGCATCTACCCATGAGCCTTTGCGTTTTTAGCATGTGTTATTGTCGCTTGGGACTCAATTCCCGCGAGTGCGCAGGTGACAACCTTCACACTTTAAGTCTTGTTTTCATGCATTAGTTATTTTAAAATAAAATATCCAAATAATGCAATGTACGTATTCATCAGCAATCAAGCGATAAAACTGGCCCATTGTAATGATTTGGTTTTAATTAATTAATTAATTATTTTAATTAACACCTGGGGAATTGAAGTATCAGCATGCAATGTGTTTTTGATGTACTAAACTTTTTTTTTTGCAGTTTTACAGAAATGGATTTGTCGGAAAATAGTTCAATACCCACTGCTCAATTCTTAGAGGCATTCAGAAATATTTTGCCAATATTTGGTAAGTAGTATGTCAAAAATATAAACATATAACGCTTTGTTTTCTTCAATAAAAATAATTTAATATCAAAGCATCTAACTAAATTATAGGACTGATTCAAAGGTGTTGTGAAATAATTTTGCATGTGGTATAGGTGTACCTCTAACCTCTATTATATTTCAATATTTAGTAACGATGTTTCCTATTCTATAATTTTAGTCAAATTTTTGGGTTAAAAAATGCTATAACTTGACTTTTTTCACCCCAAATGTCAAAAATGTTTGCTAAAATTACAGAATTGGAGACATTGTCAGAAATTATTCCAATTTAATAAGTCAATGTTAAGATACACATATACTAAGTATCAAAGCAATTGAAGTAGTGGTTTTCAAGAAGAAGAAGTCAAAAATAGAATTTTTAAAAATGACAAAATTTTTTGCTAAAATTACAGAATTGGACACATTGTCATGAAATAATCAGCTTTATCAAAAAATGCAAGTATTTTACATTCCCAGAAATTGGAAACTGCATTCACGTATAACAATATGTTACCTTTGTTATAGATGCACTTGGATCAACAACATTTGCTCCTGTTAAAATGGATATTCTAGGAAATATTCGGGTGAGAGCTTGTTATTATTAATGATAAATTTTACAGACTTTACTATGGTCAGGGAATTACATCCTGGTACACTAGTGCATCATGGTTGAAATGAGAGAAAAATAGTATTTGTAGAAATTCAGTTTTCTTCCTCATCGATTTAATCATCAACATGCTATGGCTGTTAAATAATTAATTTATTAATTTGGACACAAATCATTAATTAGTCCCTGTAATATAGATCATTTATAGTGGTTATTATTTATTTATATTCACAATAAATTCTTGACAACCACTAAAATGATAGATATGATGAAACATATAAACCAATAATCCTGCATGCTTGACCCAATATTAATGAAAGGTAGTCAAATGGTTGTACATTTTAAAATGTTGTTACAAATGACAAAGTCTGAGGATTTATGTGGTTTGCACATGCTTATTACCTTGCCTGTACCATCAAAGATGGAAGGGAAAGGTATATTAAGGGGAAAATTTTGTCCGGCGTTGTCGTCGTCGTCGTCGTTAATAATTGTTATTGTGTGCATAATAACTTTACTAATTCTATTCCAAACTTCACCAAACTTGGTCACCTTATTATCAGTATAAAGTCTTCCCTGAGTTTGAACAACAGATGTCCTGTATGAAAA